GAGGAGAACTGGGTGAAAGTGTTGTGGTCAGATGAGACCAAAATCAAGCTCTTTGGCATCAACTCAACTCGCCGTGTTTGGAGGAGGAGGAATGCTGCCCATGACCACAAGAACACCATCCCCACCGTCAAACATGGAGGTGGAAACATTATGCTTTGGGGGTGTTTTTCTGCTAAGGGGACAGGACAACTTCACTGCATCAAAGGGACGATGGACGGGGCCATGTACCGTCAAATCTTGGGTGAGAACCTCCTTCCCTCAGCCAGGGCATTGAAAATGGGTCATGGATGGGTATTCCAGCATGACACTGACCCAAAACACACAGCCAAGGCAACAAAAGAGTGGCTCAAGAAGAAGCACATTAAGGTCCTGGAGTGGCCTAGCCAGTCTCCAGACCTTAATCCCATAGAAAATCTGTGGAGGGAGCTGAAGGTTCGAGTTGCCAAACGTCAGCCTCGAAACCTTAATGACTTGGAGAAGATCTGCAAAGAGGAGTGGAACAAAATCCCTCCTGAGATGTGTGCAAACCTGGTGGCCAACTACAAGAAACGTCTGACCTCTGTGATTGCCAACGAGGGTTTTGCCACCAAGTACTAAGTCATGTTTTGCAGAGGGGTCAAATATTTATTTCCCTCATTAAAATGCAAATCAATTTATAACATTTTTTACATTGGTTTTTCTGGATTTTTTGTTGTTATTCTGTCTCTCACTGTTCAAATAAACCTACCATTAAAATTATAGACTGATCATGTCTTTGTCAGTGGCAAACGTACAAAATCAGCAGGGGCTCAAATACTTTTTTCCCTCACTGTATGTGCATTCAAAATGGCCCCCTATTGCCTATATAGTGCAGAACAATGCACAGAAAATAATAATATCAGGTTAAACTAGAACTAAGTACATAGTATTTGTCCCAAATAATCTTTAATTTTCAAACATGTTGTTGAATCTGTACATGCACCATTTGATTGAACTAAACTATCCTGTTTTTCACAGTAACATATACATTTTCCGGATTGTTGCTGTTTCTCAGTACTCTGCTTCCCTCTGCTGTTGGTATAAGGCTATGGCTTTTTAGAATTATACCTACATGTCTACGATTTAATAGTAGGTGGCATAAGACTTTAAGACCAGTAGGTGGCATAAGACATTAACACGTTGTAAAACAAACTGAGTGTTGCCACAATTGACAATACTTTTCAATTCCAATCATTACAAGCCCCCGGTGTAGTTCAGTTGGTAGAGCATGGCGCTTCCAACGCCAGGGTTGTGGCCAGTATGAAAATGTATGCACTCACAAACTGTAAGTCGCTCTGGATAAGAGCGTCTGCTAAATGACTACAATGTAAATAGTGCACGGGGCTCTGGCCAGAGGTAGTGTAGGGAATAGGGTGTTCTCATTTCTGAGGAGAGGCGATGAGTAGCTGTGGTTAAATAAACTAAAATAGTTTATTTTCAAACAATGCAAACTGATTAAATAGATCACAGCACTCATGTCGAGTTGGTTGACTTTTATTCAAAAAGTGACTGTCTCCAGACATGTACAAATCTGAGAGTGAGTGGCAATAGGATGGGGAACAAACAATATCGCGGAAGAGTGTGTATATATATATGAAAAAATGCAACATACATAAATGGCCAAAAACCGAAAAACACAACAAATGAAAATAAAGCTTGATGTTTGTTTTATATACAGTAAGGATCAAATAAAGGAATTATACCGATGTAGTGGTAGTTAGTGACAAAACAAAAGCCACAGTAATTTTTACTCCAAAGTATTTACTTACATGAAATAATAATTAGGTAAAACACACACAGGCTGTTATATCTACTTCATCGACATCACATCTGGGCCATCTTTAATGTTTTCTGTCATCATAACACCAATAATCACCTTTCATGGTTACCTCTCTGACACGGAAGAATAGTGAGAAAAAATGATTTAGGACCTGTCCAGAAACATACCTTACAACCCTCGACCCTAGTCTCGCGAGGCCATCCTTCCAAATCTCGTCTACAGAAGCTTTCCAAGGCTACCTCAACCCTTAACCCCTAGGTGCTAGTGTAGATCTGAAGTAATCCGATGGGTATAAGCAATACGGTAGTAGCTTCACCTTTCCCCCCTGATAGACTAGCTGGGATGAAGCCAAATTGCTTATACCTTACTTATCCATTCCTATCAGATATACACAGGTACCTATGGGTATAGGCACAGAATTACTAGAATAGGCAAAAACGACACAGACCAGAGCAACTTTATTCTAGTAATACTATTTCTATGGGGCTAGGGGCAGTTTCTTGGACAGGGGAGTTGATTTCCTTCCACTATAGCATGTTTAAGGCTCAGGCATGGAATGATTAAAGTAGATAGATTTACCTCAGTAGACAAAACATTTCATTAAAACTTATGGACGACATAATAGTTAATGTCACATTTAAGCTTTGTCTAGCTGCCAGAGTGCTGCTGCTGTTGATAAATGTCCCAAATGGCACCCTATTCCCTATATAGTGCACTACTTTTGACCAGGGCCAAGAGGGAATATAGGCCCTGGTGAGGGCACTAGGGTTCCATTTGGGATGAACCCAACCTCAACCTTTCTATAGGATTAGAATGATGACTGGCTTTAAGTTAGTTATACAGCTTCATATTGTGGAGTTTCGCGATAGGACATTATTACTCATGATGTTGAAGGTGAAAACCATAAAGCTGAGATTTCACAAGTCAGATTTTTTTTCTCCATGATGAGTCCAAACTAATTTACACTTAGGAAAAAAAAGGTAGAAACCCCAAGACGTTATTAAGACGAAGAAAAAACAAAAATACAAATTTAAAAATCTTCCTTGCCGCATGACTACACATGCTTTTCATTTCAAACAGTTTTACTTACACATTTCTGAAACCTTAACTTTTTATGTTGAACATTAATTTAAAAAATGCAGTTATAAAAACAGCACCGATTCATATATAACTTTATTTAAAATTTAGAGATAGCTATTTCAACAGTAAATGTGCTGGATTTTCTGGAGAGGGAGAAATGTATTTTCTGTGTATTAACATGCTGCTTGCTTGTCTCCGAGTCAGCACAGCGGTGGCACTACCAGAGAGAAAATCGCCTCGCTGTCCGTCGGGAGAGAAGTCTCTACAGATGGGGAGAAGGGTCCAAATCTTTGGGTAAGCTTCAGGACTTGTGTGACAGCTTAGTTCCTTGTTAAACACTGGGCCTGCGTCCCAAATGGCACCCTATTCCCTAAATAGTGAACTACTTTTGAGACGCACCCTGGGCCTCTTCTCAGCAACCTCAGGGGTCCTCAGTCAGACTGAATAGAAACACAGGACCCACACACAGTTGGATATGACGAAGAGACCTTCAAGAAACTATCCTGAAGCATTTACAACCGTGTGGGGTTATTTCTACTCGTTTCGTATGAAGGAATCTGCTCTTGGAAAACAGTTACTTGGACCAAGGGTTGGATGTGTGCAGCTACATCCATTACCATTACAGCTGATCTATTCAACAGGTCACCAACAGAACCACCAGCAGTTGTCATCACAACCACAGAACCAACAGATTCTACTGACAGTCCAACACGGGGGAAAGGAAAACAGCATAAAGACCATGTCCATCCACTAATACCACAGCACTGCTAGCTAGCTTTCTACTAACAATCTGTTTATAAATTACTACACCACACCGGGTTACTCACTATACTAGCATAGAGACAGGGTTAGAACACATTGAAAAACGAAAGGCTCTTACGTTAGAACTCATTTCATCTCCAGTTGGAAGAAAAATAAATCATTCTAGAATTATGGAACATTCTTCAGACTAAACGTCTCGAGGATTCCTCTAGGTTTGGAACTGGTTTGCCACTAACTGAAAGGGGAAAGCTTACCCAAGGATTAGAAAAGTATTTTGTTTTCATTCAGTCCCCTCTGAGCGAGAAACACTGTGTGTGTGTTAGACCATGGAGGATAAACCAGAGAAAGAAGACTCCTGATCTGCATCTTAACTTCTCCATAAATACACTATGCCTCTCCTCTTCTCTCCGTCTACAAAGACCAGTTTAAAACATGGACACTCCAAGGACCTGCAGAGAGAAAAGGTGTCATTACACATCTGTAAAAGCACTTAGCAACAACATGCCTTAGGTATTATTATAGTGAGGCTGAGCCACCCTTCCAGTATTGGGATTGTGTGTTTGAATGCAGCGCTGGCTGTCAATGCTTGGATTTGATTGTCTCCGAGCAGAAATGAAGCATTTGATTGGCACGGAGTAAAATTGTTTCCCCTCAAGAGAGGCATTTACTTGTTTTAACGTTTTGTTTTCCTACCGTGTCGGACAAAGTAGCCTATGCGGCGTTAGTTTGTATCTTATGCATGCTAGCTTGTTGCTGGTCCTCTGTAGCTCAACTGGTAGAGCACGGCGCTTGTAACGCCAGGGTAGTGGGTTCGATCCCCAGGACCACCCATACACAAAAATGTATGCACGCATGACTGTAAGTCGCTTTGGATAAAAGCGTCTGCTAAATGGCATATTATTATTATTATTATATTATTACTAGACCCCACCCCTTTTCGTCATCTTCCTGAGGGGAACTTCCCAGGCTTTCCAACAGAAAAAGCGAAAGGAATGTATTCAACCAAATCAGTCTTCAGCATTTAATCCCTGGGATCGAACCTCAGGCTGTAGTGGCGCCTCAGCACTGCGGTGCAGCGCTTTTGACCGCTGTGACACCCAGGAGCTCGTTACATATTAGATTCTAGGGCACAATATGTGCTTTAAACATAGCTAGAATTCATATAGGTTGTATTTCAATCAATTAAAAAAATATATATTATTTTCTGGTGCTCCTAAATTTCATCGAGGTGCTCCTAACTTTAAGTTGGGAGCACCAGTATTACCAGTGAAAATGTTTAATTTAGAGCCCTGTGTATGTATAAGGAAGAGTACTACTATAAAGTAATAATGGTTATGAGTATAAAAGAAGAGTTGCTTACAGACTCGTCCATGATGGAACCAGGGTCAAAGTAGTCTGGTTTCAGCTCTGATCTCTCTCTCCTGTTCTTAGAGGGGGGCTGGAGAAAGGAGAGAGAAACAAATATGAAAATATTTTAATTCTACCTATATGAGCTGATTGTGATAATTATACACTGAACAAAAATATAAAACTCAACATGCAACAATTTCAAAGATTTTACTGAGTTACAGTTCATATAAGAAAATCTGTCAATTGAAATAAATAAATTAGACCCTAATCTATGGATTTCACATAACTGGGAATACAGATATGCATCTGTTGGTCACAGATACCATAACAAATCTGGTGTGACCACCATTTGCCTCATGCAGCGAGACATCTTCGCATAAGAGTTGATCAGGCTGTTGATTATGGACTGTGGAATGTTGTCCCACTCCTTTTCAATGGCTGTGCAAAGTTGCTGGATATTGGCGGGAACTAGAACACGCAGTCGTACATGTCGATCCAGAGGAACCCAAACATGCTCAATGGGTGACATGTCTGGCGAGCATGGGACATTTTCAGCTTCCAGGAATTGTGTACAGATCCTTGCGACATGGGGCTGTGCATTATCATGCTGAAACATGAGGTGATGGTGGCAGATGAATGGCACGACAATGGGCCTCAGGATCTAATCACGGTATCTCTGTGCATTTCAAATTGCCATTGATAAAATACAATTGTGTTCGTTGTCCGTAGCTTACGCCCATACCATAACCTCACCGCCACCATGGGGCACTCTGTTCACAATGTTCACATCAGCACGTCTGCCCGGTACATTTGAAACCGGGATTCATCCGTGAAGAGCACACTTCTCCAGCATGCCAGTGGCCAAAGAAGGTGAGCATTTGCCCACTGAAGTCGGTTACGACTTCCAAATTCTCTAAAGCCGGGTGTACACCACCATTTTGACCCCGATGTAGCTATCCTAGACACGTTTGAGATCGGAGACAGAATCCGCATGTCGTTGCCTACTCGGGGCACGCGGCCATCACCGATGCTCGTTTAATGTGAGCAGGTCAGAGACGCAATCTGAGGGCTACCGATCTAGTCTTTGAGCCGTCCCAGACGTCCCGATATTGACACAAAATCGGCAATGCTCTTGTAGTGTGAGATGTGCAACGACAAGTTTTGAGAAGGGTGATCAGAAATAGCCAAATGAGAGCTCGCCAGAGAAGAAGCCAGTGAGATTACGTTGTGTCGCATCACCCAGGATGCGTAGACTCTCGCACAGGAGCCATGACTACTACTAGTATGCATTTGTACTTGCCTTTAAAACCAAAGCGTCAAATTGTTACAGCTCTGAAGTTCACAAGCAACGTTATTAAATTCAAAATGTTGGCTAGATACAGTATTTCAACTCTGTATGGCAGGGGTGTCAAAGTCAAATGGACGGAGGGCCAAATAAAAAATTTAGCTACAAGCCGAGGGCCGGACTGTTCGAATGTTCATTGAAAAAATTTTAAATGACGCATATAGTCTAGTGAACCTAATTGAACCTACTGAAAACCTAACAAATATATTCCAATATGATCAGATAAATAAAGCAATATTTTCTTATGGCTCTGTCAGTAATCTTTAATTTTCAACAGACACAAAAGACAAATTTCCTTTATATAAAAATCCCCATAACATGAACATTAAATGAAAGAAACCGGTATTCAAGGCACCATCAGTAGCCTATATTTTCTATTTTAGCAAAAGTGGGCTAAATTTACTTCAAAGAAAAAAACAATAATAGCAATTTTCTATCATCCACTCAACTGAAATATTTTTAAAATATAATTGGATTGAAATACAATAAAATAAAGTGCAAAAATCTATTAATCAAAAACAACACTTTGTTTAAGGAGAAGTAACATGCAGTGAAAACAAATATTAAACTTTAACTTTTAAACTTGAACTGAGTAAAAACTCTAAATATGTGATTGCACAGTAATGTTCACTTGTTTGAGGTTGAGGGTGATACTTGGTGGTGTCCCATCTTTTCCACAAGTTCATCAATGTTCGGGGTAAGGCTCTGAGCTGAGGAAATCCTCAGAATTGAGTGGAGGTGTTCAGCAGTAAGTCGACTTCTGTGTGATGTTTTGTTCAGGTTCATCAAAGAAAACAGTTGTTCACACAGGTATGTGCTGCCAAACATAGACAACGTTTGAGCAGCCTGGATGCGCAGCTGGGGCATTTGTTCCATGTCCATATTCTTGTTTTTGTCCGCGTGTTTCGTTTCATAATGTCGTCTCAGATTATACTCTTTCAGTACCGCCACACTTTCTCCACACAGAAGACACACAGGTTTTCCAGCTACCTCCGTGAACATATACTCCGACTCCCACCTTGTTTGAAACCCCCGGTTCTCAGTGTCCACCTTCCGTTTTGCCATTTTTGATGGGTATCTGAAAGTTAATTTTACTGTGATGCTGACGACTGCTGTGCCAATAAATATTGAAATGAAGCAGCCTACTGCTCGGTGCGTCACCGTTGCATTGTGGGAAATGTAGTATTGGTGCGTGTAAAAGATCTGCGGGCTGCCGGCTTGCTGCGGTCTGCGGGCCGGTTCTAATAATAAATCAAGATCATCCCAGGGGCCGTAAAAAACCTTCTCGCGGGCCGGATGTGGCCCGCGGGCCTTGACTCTGACATATGTGCTGTATGGCAAGCGTGAATGTCTGAAAACGTTTGAGGCTGCTTTGAGCCACAGCTCGTTGTAGCTACATTCAATCTAATCACATCACATTGTTTTCGCAAGACAGTATGGTATCGACAATCCTCAAGACCAAATGAAGAATCTTGTAATGTGTGACCCGTCTGTGCCACATCGTTTAATGTGTGCGCCACGAAGTTGGCAAGACAAAAAAAACTACAGGAAAGATGGTTGTTTAATGTGAGAGGTTAAGCGATGTTAGGATTTTGAAAGTCGTGTAGCATACACCCGGCTTAAAATGACGTTGGAGGCGGCTTATGGTAGAGAAATTAACATTAAATTATCTGTAAACAGCTCTGGTGGACATTCCTGCAGTCAGCATGCCAATTGCACGCTCCCTCAAAACTTGAGACATCTGTGGCATTGTGTTGGGTGACAAAACTGCATATTTTAGAGCTGCCTTTTATAGTCCCCAGCACAAGGTGCACCTGTGTAATGATCATGCTGTTTAATCAGCTTCTTGATATGCCACATCTGGTCAAGTGGATTGATTATCTTGGCAAAGGAGAAATGCTCACTAACCAGGATGTAAACACATTTGTGCACAACATTTGAGAGAAAAGCTTTCTGTGCGTATGGAAAATTTCTGGGATCTTTTATTTCAGCTCATGAAACATGGGACCAACACTTTACATGTTGCGTTTATATTTTTGTTCAGTATATTTAGTGTTTCTTGAGAGAGATATTTCTGGATCACCACATAATTCGCTGTAAAAGGTTTTAAAAACCAAAAGCCATGTGTGTAGTAAAAGGTCAAAGGTCTCACCAGGTCGATGTCCATGGTGTCAAAGTCCATGCCCTCGTTGAGATCTTCCATACGACCCTCTGATGACATCATCACATCCTCTACGATAGGCTCCTCATCCTCCTCCATCAGCCCTGTACCACGCCGACTACACACACACCATAATTAGTACATTCAAATGACCATCAATATAGAGTAGCAGTACATCAACTGGTTAGTCCACAAAGATCTGAAAAGGAAGTAGCTCTTACATGACCTGTTGCAGGTTGGTCCTGAGCTCGGGGTTAGGGAGGGATGGGGTGTGTGTGTGTGTGTGTGTGTGTGTGTGTGTGTGTGTTCTTACATGACCTGTTGCAGGTTGGTCCTGAGCTCGGGGTTAGGGAGGGATGGGGTGTGTGTGTGTGTGTTCTTACATGACCTGTTGCAGGTTGGTCCTGAGCTCGGGGTTAGGGAGGGATGGGGTGTGTGTGTGTGTGTGTTCTTACATGACCTGTTGCAGGTTGGTCCTGAGCTCGGGGTTAGGGAGGGATGGGGTGTGTGTGTGTGTGTTCTTACATGACCTGTTGCAGGTTGGTCCTGAGCTCGGGGTTAGGGAGGGATGGGGTGTGTGTGTGTGTGTGTGTTCTTACATGACCTGTTGCAGGTTGGTCCTGAGCTCGGGGTTAGGGAGGGATGGGGTGTGTGTGTGTGTGTGTGTTCTTACATGACCTGTTGCAGGTTGGTCCTGAGCTTGGCGTAGTTCATGGCTCTCTCCTGCTGCTGACGAACCTCCTCCTGCTGCCTCTGAGCCAGCATCCACGTCACCTGGGTACTACACACACACCACAATAGGTTAGACAACCACACTGGTGGTTCAGGTATATGTCAAAATATACCTGAAAAGAACGAGAGTAGAGAGCAGAGCGAGACGGGAGGAGAGAGAGAGAGCGAGCGAGAGCGAGACGGGAGGAGAGCGAGAGCGAGACGGGGAGGAGAGAGAGCGAGAGCGAGACGGGAGGAGAGAGAGAGCGAGAGCGAGACGGGAGGAGAGAGAGAGCGAGAGCGAGACGGGAGGAGAGAGAGAGCGAGAGCGAGACGGGAGGAGAGAGAGAGCGAGAGCGAGACGGGAGGAGAGAGAGAGCGAGACGGGAGGAGAGAGAGAGCGAGACGGGAGGAGAGAGAGAGCGAGACGGGAGGAGAGAGGGAGAGCGAGACGGGAGGAGAGAGAGAGCGAGAGCGGGAGGAGAGGAGAGAGAGCGGGAGAGAGAAGAGAGCGAGACGGGGAGAGAGCGAGAGCGAGACGGGAGGAGAGAGAGAGCGAGACGGGAGGAGAGAGAGAGCGGAGACGAGAGAGAGAGAGCGAGAGGGAGGAGAGCGAGACGGGGACGGGAGAGAGAGGCGAGAGCGAGACGGGAGGAGGAAGAGCGAGACGGAGGAGAGAGAGCCGAGACGGGAGGAGAGAGAGCGAGACGGAGGAGAGACGAGAGCGGACGGGAGGGAGAGAGAGCGAGACGGGAGAGAGAGAGAGCGAGACGGGAGGAGAGAGAGACGGACGGGAGGAGAGAGAGAGCGAGACGGGAGGAGAGAGAGCGAACGGGAGGAGAGAGAGAGCGAGACGGGAGGAGAGAGAGAGCGAGACGGGAGGAGAGAGAGAGCGAGACGGAGGAGAGAGAGAGCGAGACGGGAGGAGAGAGAGAGCGAGACGGGAGGAGAGAGAGAGCGAGACGGGAGGAGAGAGAGAGCGAGACGGGAGGAGAAGAGAGCGAGACGGGAGGAGAGAGAGCGAGACGGGAGGAGAGAGAGCGAGACGGGAGGAGAGAGAGCGAGACGGAGGAGAGAGAGAGCGAGCGAGAGACGGGAGGAAAGAGCGAGAGACGGGAGGAGAGAGCGAGAGACGGGAGGAGAGAGCGAGAGACGGGAGGAGAGAGAGAGCGAGCGAGAGACGGGAGGAGAGAGCGAGAGACGGGAGGAGAGAGAGAGAGAGACGGGAGGAGAGAGAGAATCTTACTTGTAGTCGATGGGTGTCTGGTGGAGTTGTGGGGTCTGGGGGAGTGTGTGTGGGTGAGGCTGCTGCTGGGAGTCTGAGGGGAGGGCGTACACTCCCATGTAGCTGTCGTCTCTCCCCCGTTTGACATCCCCCCTCATGTCCCCCGGACCTCTCATCATGGTGGAGGTGAGGTGGGGGGAGGGCATCATCACTGGAGTCTGCATGGTCTGTTGTTGCCACGACACATCTGTACTGCCGCTACTGCTCTCCTCAGCTAGAGAACACACACACCGTTAAACACACACACCGTTAAAGACACACACACACACATCTGTACTGCCGCTACTGCTCTCCTCAGCTAGAGAACACACACACCGTTAAAGACACACACCGTTAAAGACACACACACACATCTGTACTGCCGCTACTGCTCTCCTCAGCTAGAGAACACACACACCGTTAAAGACACACACACCGTTAAAGACACACACACACACACATCTGTACTGCCGCTACTGCTCTCCTCAGCTAGAGAACACACACACCGTTAAAGACACACACACCGTTAAAGACACACACACCGTTAAAGACAATTCTGAAAGGGTTGGATGACTGTAAGAGATGCGGTGAGCACTTCCCAACAGGCTAGGTGATTTCAGCCATAGAGCCTACATCATCTACCTACCAGGGGTAACAGTGTTTACAGTAGGAGATGACCTCAGACTGGGACAGATATCAATACTTTTGTCCTCTCTAACATGGCCATGACGTGACCACAGACTGACTTCCAGACTTCCCTGGTCCTGTAGCTACCTTCAGGCAGTTTCCTCTTGGCTGCAGCGACGGTAGCGGTGGGAGTAGCAGCCTTGGTCTTCTTGGATCTGACAGACGACCCTCTGGAGGAGTAGCCAGAGACCACAGACATGTTGTCATCATCTCCGCCAGCCTGGAGGGAGTTCCTGTAGGAGATGAGAGGCAGCCAGCAGTCTTCTCTCTGAAGGGCCATCTGGAAGGTCATGAACCGCTCCAGATACATGTGGCTACAGGGGAGAGAGGAGAGATGTTACACACACCTTACACATGTTCATACACACACACACACACACACACACACACACACACACTACTAAACATAAAGTCATATGTCTGGGAGTGGACACAGTCCTCTTGTCCTGCTTAATGATATCATACGAATGACATATCAGTCTAGTCAGTCTAAAAACACTTCAGCGAGCAGGCCTTCCTAATTGACCTGGCCCGGGTATCCTGGATGGATATAGATCTCATTCCGTCAGTAGAGGATGCCTGGTTGTTCTTTAAAAGTAATTTCCTCTCAATCTTAAATAAACATGCCCCATTCAAAAAATACAGAACTAAGAACAGATATAGCCCCTGGTTCTCCTCAGACTTGACTGCCCTTGACCAGCACAAAAACATCCTGTGGCGTACTGCATTAGCATCAAATAGCCCCCGCGATATGCAACTTTTCAGGGAAGTTAGGAACCAATATACACAAGCAGTTAGGAAAGCAAAGGCTAACTTTTTCAAACAGAAATTTGCATCCTGTAGCACTAACTCCAAAAAGTTTTGGGACACTGTAAAGTCCATGGAAAATAAGAGCACTCCCTCCCAGCTGCCCACTGCACTGAGGCAAGGAAACACTATCACCACCGATAAATCTACAATAATCGAGAATTTCAACAAGCATTTTGCTACGGCTGGCCATGCTTTCCACCTGGCCACCAGCTCTGCACCCTCCGCTGCAACTTGCCCATGCCCCCCCCCCTTCTCCTTCACACAAATCCAGACAGCTGATGTTCTGAAAGAGCTGCAAAATCTGGACCCCTACAAATCATCTGGGCTAGACAATCTGGACCCTTTCTTTCTAAAACTAGCCGCCGAAATTGTCGCAACCCCTATTACTAGCCTGTTCAACCTCTCTTTCGTAACGTCTGAGATCCCCAGAGATTGGAAAGCTGCCGCGGTCATCCCCCTCTTCAAAGGGGGTGACACTCTAGATCCAAACTGTTACAGACCCATATCCATCCTGCCCTGCCTTTCAAAAGTTTTTGAAAGCCAAGTTAACAAACAGATCACCGACCATTTCGAATCCCACCATACCTTCTCCGCTATGCAATCTGGTTTGCGAGCTGGTCATGGATGCACTTCAGCCACGCTCAAGGTCCTAAACGATATTATAACCGCGATCGATAATAGACAGTACTGTGCAGCCGTTTTCATTGACCTGGCCAAGGCTTTCGACTCTGTCAACCACCGCATTCTTATTGGCAGACTAAATAGCCTTGGTTTCTCAAATGACTGCTCTTCAACCGAACGCTGCTTGCACCCGCCCACCCGACTAGAATCACTACTCTCGACGGGTCTGACCTAGAGTATGTGGACAACTACAAATACCTAGGTGTCTGGTTAGACTGTAAACTCTCCTTCCAGACTCACATTAAGAATCTCCAATCCAAAGTTAAATCTAGAATCGGTTTCCTATTTCGCAACAAAGCCTCCTTCACTCATGCTGCCAAACATGCCCTCGTAAAACTGACTATCCTACCGATCCTTGACTTCGGCGATGTCATTTACAAAATAGCCTCCAACACTCTACTCAGCAAATTGGATGTAGTCTATCACAGTGCCATCCGTTTTGTCTCCAAAGCCCCATATAATACCCACCACTGTGACCTGTACGCTCTTGTTGGCTGGTCCTCACTACATATTCGTCGCCAAACCCACTGGCTCCAGGCCATCTATAAATCACTGCTAGGCAAATCCCCGCCTTATCTTAGCTCATTGGTCACCATAGCAACACCCACCCGTAGTATGCGCTCCAGCAGGTATATCTCACTGGTCATCCCCAAAGCCAACACCTCCTTTGGCTGCAATTCCTTCCAGTTCTCTGCTGCCAATGACTGGAACAAATTGCAAAAATCTCTGAAGCTGGAGACACTTATCTCCCTCACTAACTTTAAGCATCAGTTGTCAGAGCACCTTACCGATCACTGCACCTGTACACAGCCCATCTGAAATTAGCCCGCCCAACTACCTCATCCCTATATTGTTATTTATTTTGCTCATTTGTACCCCAGTATCTCTATTTGCACATCATCTCTTGCACATCTATCATTCCAGTGTTAATACTAATTGTAATTATTTTGCACTATAGCCTATTTATTGCCTTACCTCCATAACTTGCTACATTTGCACACACTGTATATATATATATGTATTTCTGTTGTATTTTTGACTTTGTTTTGTTTTACCCCATATGTAACTCTGTGTTGTTGTTTTTATCGCACTGCTTTGCTTTATCTTGGCCAGGTCGCAGTTGTAAATGAGAACTTGTTCTCAACTGGTTTACCTGGTTAAATAAAGGTTAAATAAAAAAATAAAATAAAAATAGTCATCACTTATCTCACACACACACACACACGTGTCTGATTAGGAGAGGCAGAGGTGTGTGTGTGTACTCACACAGTCCTCTTGTCCTGCCTCATTAGTTTGGAGGAAAACTCAGAGAGGATGTCTAGGAAGGCCAGGTGAAGAGGAGGGTTGCCCTCTCCCTGGGGACTGGGCTCCTTAAACGCAAACTCTATACCATCCCTGGAGTGAGACGAGGGAGAGAGAGGTAGAGAGGGGAGGGAGAGAGGGGGGCGAGGTAGAGAGGGAGGGAGAGAGGGGTAGAGGGGGAGGGAGAGAGGGGGAGGGAGAGAGGGGAGCGAGGTAGAGAGGTAAAGTTTGCGTTCAGAAAAATGAGCTATCTAGCAGCACAAGTAGATACATACATTAACTAGTCCTATGTACAGCTCACACCCATCATATGCTAATCATGTTCAATAGTTTTAAATCGTGTTAAAAAGCTGGAGTATTTATCAGCTGGTTATTTTAAGTCGTGTACAATAAAGCTATCAAGAGAAAGAGAGATCAGAAGAGGACACTGACTTGTGCAGCATGGCGATAGCATCTCGTGTTTTCACCTGGTCCAGACCAAAGGTGAGAGAGAAACGTCTGGCCAACTCCTTGATCCCACAGAACGCTGAGGACGAGCGGTCAAACCCTGTCCCCAACTCTGACAACATCTCATTGAACAACTGCAGGAGAGAGGGAAGAGAGGGAGGAGAGAGGGAAGAGAGGGAAGAGAGGAGAGAGGGAAGAGAGAGAGGAGAGAGGGAAGAGAGAGGAGAGAGGGAAGAGAGAGAGGAGAGAGGGAAGAGAGAGAAGAGAGATGGGTGAATAAATGTGTGGAATGAAGACATTGCTCTTCCAATCTGATTTGTTCCAAAAAGTCTGGAGAGATGAAATAAAATTCAAACCAAGATCTAGCTTGATAAAAACAACAGCGTGTGTAACCCACCTGTTGTAGACTGAGGATGAGTGTCTTGGCACATTGGATCTTGTCTATCTGTCTGGTCTTAGACATGGTCTCCTTGATGATGTCACCATAGTCATTATAATACTAGAGAGAGAGTGGAAGACAGTTCAGCCACAAGTCAAAGTCTCTTACAGGAAAAACAGGACTTCTGATACATTGCAACCAAGCAGTACATGGGAATGACTCTGGTAATGATCTGGTGTGGAGGTTAAATGAGTGTCATAGGCAAGAAGAGGTAATCGCCATAGAAATAGAATCTATAGAACGGGCCTCCACATTCACATCAACGATGGGATAATGTGTGGACTGATAACCATTGCGAGTGTACCCATGAGTTTAACAGTCAAATTCCCAGGGTTCGAGGTTCCAAGTCTTTTGTATAGATTATATTTCTATGGTCATAACTGGGTAAAGACAGACAGGTGAGTGTTTCTCCATTCTTACCCTCATGTACTGTTTAAAGATGTCAGTAACAGACAGGTATTTAAAGGTAGGATGCCATTCTTACCCTCATGTACTGTTTAAAGATGTCAGTAACAGACAGGTATTTAAAGGTAGGATGCCATTCTTACCCTCATGTACTGTTTAAAGATGTCAGTAACAGACAGGTATTTAAAGGTAGGATGCCATTCTTACCCTCATGTACTGTTTAAAGATGTCAGTAACAGACAGGTATTTAAAGGTAGGATGCCATTCTTACCCTCATGTACTGTTTAAAGATGTCAGTAACAGACAGGTATTTAAAGGTAGGATGCCATTCTTACCCTCATGTACTGTTTAAAGATGTCAGTAACAGACAGGTATTTAAAGGTAGGAGGCCATTCTTACCCTCATGTACTGTTTAAAGATGTCAGTAACAGACAGGTATTTAAAGGTAGGAGGCCATTCTTACCCTCATGTACTGTTTAAAGATGTCAGCTCCAGTGTTCATCTCTACTACGTTATAGATGATGAGTTTACAGTAGCCCGCCAGGAGGTTACGTCTCTTATGAAGAGCCTCTATCTTCGCTGCCTCGTCATCCTGCTGGCCATCTGTAGAGAGATACAACAGATAGTCACACAGACAGCCACAGAGCTCTTATGGGGAGCTTCTATCTTGCTGACCATTTAAAAAGGTAGAACCAGGAACACATAACCCATAACATCACAGACTGTCACAGGGCCAGACGGTAATGTCATTCCTTTAGCAGGGTCTTGTTGGTTAGCTATGGCCAAACAAGAGCTATTTTCAAGTGCAAATAAGCAATCCTACTGGAAAAGTGTGTGTAGCGGTGTGTGTGTGTGTGTGTACCAGTGCTGCCGCTGTCATCGTCCTGGTCTATGAAGACATGGTGCAGTATGAAGGACAGTAGTTCTGTCTGTAGAGAGTCGTCAGGACTGTAGACCAGAGGTTCCAGCTGCTCTCTGCCTCCTGATACCATCTGATGACTGAAGACTAGCAACACATCACACAGGATGGTGAACGCCTGGGGGGAGGGGGGGAGAGACGGACAGTTGGTTATCAGTATTCTGCCTCCTTGGCCACGTCTTCCTCATCTCAAATGGGGTTGCATGGGGATTCTGAGAATTTCATGTTTGAAAAGAACCTGATTTAAATAACTAGGCTGTGAATAGCTGCTACAGGACAGTACCTGTTCCTTGACGGTTGTGTTGACGTTGGTGAGGTAACGTTGACACATCAGACAGAACATCCTCATCTGTTTCCTCAGGCTCACCATGTCCTCCTACAGCACCATTATTACATGATCAAAACACATCCTCCTAGATTACATACACATGAGTGAACCATCAAAAGACTTGCTGTATAAACCTTGACTAACTCTCCAACTGCCTCCCCAATGTCATTTTCCTAGCTACCAAATAATACCCAACTGAATGAAAAGGCTCTGAGCTGCCAGCCAGCTGAGAGGGGAGTGTTACATACCTTTCTGTGGCTGCCCTCTGAGACCTTGGCCAGATGCCACAGGATGACATAGTGGGTACACTGTAGAGCATGGACCACTATCTGCTCTGGCATGTCTCCGTTCTCAATGCCTGTGTTGAGCAGCTTGAAGTTACTGCTGAATAGATCCCACTGGGACAGGTCATGGGCACTGGGGGAGAGAGTTAAGATCCTCAGGAGCCAGTCCAAGAGAGCAAAGGGGGAAAGAGATGGTGGAGGAGAGAGAAAGGAGGGGGAGGAGGAACAGGAGAGGATAAAGGTAGAGGGGGGTTAGAGAGGAGGGAAGGAGAGAGGAGAGGAGTTAGAGAGGATGAGGGGAGTTAGAGAGGATGAGGGGAGTTAGAGAGGAGGAGGGGAGTTAGAGAGGAGGAGGGGAGTTAGAGAGGATGAGGGGAGTTAGAGAGGATGAGGGGAGTTAGAGAGGATGAGGGGAGTTAGAGAGGATGAGGGGAGTTAGAGAGGATGAGGGGAGTTAGAGAGGATGAGGGGAGTTAGAGGATGAGGGAGTTGAGGGGGGAGTTAGAGGATGAGGGAGTTAGAGAGGAGGGGGGAGTTAGAGAGGAGGAGGGGAGTTAGAGAGGAGCGGTTGGAGGGGGTTTGAGAAAGGGAGGAGAGAGAAGGAGAGGAGTTAGAGAGGAGGGAAGGAGAGAGAAGAGGAGAGGTAGGAGGGGTTTGAGAAAGGGAGGAGAGAGAAGAGGAGGGGGTTAGAGAAAGGGAGGAGAGAGGAGGCATTACTTGTGGAAGGCTGTGATTCTCTTGAGAGTTGACAGGACCTGGTAGGCATCATCTTCATCAGGCTCTTCACCCTGAACACAGAGATAGATCAGTGTCAGTATCAACTACACACATCCCCCTAATTGTAAAAGGAATAGACTGGAGGTAGAAACTCCCTCTCTGGCCTAAACAGCTTTCCTCCCTCTGTGAGCTCTCTCCTCCCTTGTATGAAGTCCATTAACAGTCTGTTGAATTTGTCCACCAGTTCATTTTCCTTTCCCTCCCCTCCCCCCTCCCCTCCCCTCACCCCTCCCCTCTTCTCCCTCTCACCTCTTGTAAGAAGTCTTCCAGGAGTCTGTTGAATTTGTCCACCATTTCATCGAGCAGCTGTGACCTGGCGATGTCCACCCTGTTAAAGATGGTGAACTCCTCGTTGCTGAGAGCGTGGTAGGTCTTGGAGCACATCTCCAACACCTCGGTGTCGGTGTGCTTCTCCACCATCTCCCTGATCTGACGCAGCAACGCCTCCAAGTGCTAGAAGAAGAAAGCGAGGGAGTAGGAAGGTAGTGGAAATATGTTTCAGAGATGTCTTGCATTTGATATTTTGCAACTTTTGTGCTGTCATTTTGTCAAGCTGAACAGTGCTTTGAATTAGACTATAGTATAGGGTTGGGGGTTAGAGTTTGAATTAGACTATAGTATAGGGTTGGGGGTTAGAGTTTGAATTAGACTATAGTATAGGGTTGGGGGTTAGAGTTTGAATTAGACTATAGTGTAGGGTTGGGGGTTAGAGTTTGAATTAGACTATAGTATAGGGGTTGGGGGTTAGAGTTTGAATTAGACTATAGTATAGGGTTGGGGGTTAGAGTTTGAATTAGACTATAGTATAGGGGTTGGGGGTTAGAGTTTGAGTAAGAGTTATAGTCAGGGTTCATACACATTTTGCCAGATGGAATTTTATGACTTTTCCATTACCAACAATTGGCTATTAATTTAAGCATAATGTGGTATTGACAGTGGGAGGCTGCGCTCTGATCCCATGAACCATCTACTGTTGTTGAGCAAGGCACTTCACCCCCACAAAGTACAATACCTGTTAAGCAACTGTATAAAACCCATGTGGTCAACCCTCAGTCTGGAGAGATATTGGGTGTGCAGGCTTTTGATCCAGCCCTGCTCAAACACATCAGAGCCGCTCATTTTAAAAAATGTGGTTTGTTAGAGAGGGACTGGACTAAATGCCTGCACACCCATTAGCTCTCCTGGAGGATGGTTGACCACCCATGATGTAAAAACACTGCAACATTACAATGAAATACTTATGCCTTTTGAATAATTCGCTCATTCAATAACTCAAAGATCAAATGGCTATGGTAGGCTACACATTTTTTTAAAATTAAAATCTTAGCTACATTTACATTTACATTTTAGTCATTTAGCAGACGCTCTTATCCAGAGCGACTTACAGTTAGTGATTACATATATTTTTTTTTAATACTGGCCCCCCGTGGGAATCGAACCCACAACCCTGGCGTTGCAAACGCCATGCTCTATCAACTGAGCTACATCCCTGCCGGCCATTCCCTCCCCTACCCTGGACGACGCTGGGCCAATTGTGCGCCGCCCATGAGTCTCCCGGTCGCAGCAGGCTGCGACAGAGCCTGGATTCGAACCAGGATCTCTAGTGGCACAGTTAGCACTGCGATGCAGTGCCTTAGACCACTGCGCCACTCAGGAGTCTCAATTACTGCAGGTTGACTAGCATCTACTGAGTTGCAATGTCCCATACATTGGACGCCCAAATCAACTGGAAGTATCTACAAAACAAGTTTTGAAGCCACATAATCCAAAATATATGTTCACGATTCTGTAATTATTTTGATTCACATGATTCAATTCAACTTGATTGAACCAAATACCAACTAATACAATGAAGTTAATAGTTAGTTTAAAATGATTGTTTAATTGAATCAAAATAATATATTTTTTAAAGTAAATCAACTTTGTATGGCCTTATTCGCGACTGTCGGGGAAATGACAAATTAACAGCCTACATGCTAATAATAGCTAAACAGTTAACTAGAGGGTACAAGACGTGTTTTGAATTGGCTACCTAGTCAGTCTGTTCTCCATCATATTTTATAGGCCGTCTACCTGCTGCAATGTCCGGTCTCTCTCTCCTTGAGCACCGGCCCACTGGTCTCACACACATGCAGGTAATGCGCTACAGTGTCATTTTGATCCTGTCTGAATGTTCTACGGTGTAATTTAGATCCTGTCTGAATGCGCTACAGGTTCCTTTTGTTCCTGGCTGATATGTTGATGCCTGGAAAACACCTTTTTAAAATTCCATGATTTTTCATGACCATACGAAGCCTGTATAGTGTAGGGTTGGGGGTTAGAGTTTGAATTAGACTTTAGTGTAGGGTTGGGGGTTAGACTTTGAATTAGACTTTAGTGTAGGGTTGGGGGTTAGAGTTTGAATTAGACTTTAGTGTAGGGTTGGGGTTAGACCTTCTCCAGTCGTCCTGTGGTGTAGATATCCAGGTCAAAGAACTGAGGAAGCTGCAGCAGGTTGGTCACCTTCTCTGAATCTATGGAGTACTGGAACAAAGAGAGAGAGCGCACACTCACACACAGTACTGCAGGCAGGGGAAACAGACTACAACACAGGTTTACTAGAGAGGGTGGTGGGGGTGAAGGTGTAGTGTCCTACCTTGGCCAGCAGAGGGGGCAATGCCACAGCAAACAGTTCCGTCATCCTGGTCCTGTCATCTAGCTGGGTCTTCTTCTCCTTCGCTGTCATTACCTGGGGGAGGGGGGGAACAAGAGAGAGACAGACAGAGAAATAGTTGCCGTTACTGTTTTGCTAAGTGGAAGGCAAGAAAAAGAAGCTGTGAATCTTGATGCCCAGTCTAAAAAGTGTCTCACCCTCTTCCCGGTGCCGCGGCCTATGGGCGGGTGGCACTCTGCAGCCTGGCGCACCGTACACAGCATTATCTCTATGAGAGCTGTCTCCTGTCTGTCTGTCAGGGCTACACACACACGAGATACATTAGAGGCCAGGTATAGGGGTTATGGGTCAGAGGTCAGGGGTTAGAGATCATACCTTCCTCCCCTGGTACGGGATCATCCAGTAGCAGGCTGGTCATACACTCCCAGTCCTTGAGCAGGTCTGCCCCACTCTCCCACAGAGAGTCCACCAGGTATGCTGCATGCTCATGGAGCTGAGATACACAGACAGACAGGCAGGTGTGGGTGGGTGTATTTTTTCCCCAGTAAGTATGCAGCATGTTCATGGAGGTAGAGACAGAGTGTGTGTGTGTGTGTGTGTGTTTGTGTGTGTACCTCGCTCTCCAGGAAGAAGAAAACAGTAGTTTTGATGAGGTTGGCGTTGGGGCTTTGTCTTCCTCTCCTCTTGGGGGCGCCCTCCTCTTCCGGCTCCCGCGTACTGAACAGTCTGAAGAGGAGAGAAGAAGAGTCACTAGTATTAGATTTAGAAATAGGAAACAAACTATATAAACCTGTCTTCTAGACACTAGCCCAGACTACATAGAACAGACTAGGAATATGTCTATGCCAGAAAAAACATATCCCAGATCTACCAACCTCTCTCTCCTTCCTTCTGCTTTTCTCAAGTTCTCATGCCTGTACTCTCTCCTCCTCCTCCTCCTCCTCCCACTCCCATTCTCCTCCTGCCTGCCCCTCTCCTTTTCTAACCTCTCTACCTTCCTGTCTTCAGCACTGCTGCCTCTATCTCGCACTGTTCCAGGGAAAGAACCAGACATGGGCTTCTTTAGCATCACATTTGACATTTTGCAGGACAACCTCTTGAGATGCACCATATTGTTTTCAAGAGAGTTTTGATTGATTGATTTGACTTAAGAGAAAAGACATGAAGAATGTGTGACAATGGATTAAATAAAAACAATTATATAAAATAAACAAATCCTACTTCTTGAAGAGGAACTCCCCGGCAGCTATAGCGACCGGTCGGTGGGCGGAGTAGACCAGGTGATAGACGTTCTCACAGTCCTCTGGGCTCAGTACCTCATCTGTACTACTGTAATACACAAACAGTACGGATTAAACACACACACACATTGAATACACCTCCGTATCCACTGTGATATCTGAACTGTAACAACTTACTGTAGTACAAGAGTGAGCAGTTTTATTGCTTGTACTGCGACATCATACTCCTTGTCCAAAGTCATGGAGACAATGCGGTCCTGTGAAGAGAGGAAATGAATGATAAAGATTTAGCTGAAATACCTCTACTCAAATTCAACAGGGCATAGTAGTGGTTTAGGCAGGAAATACACTACATGGCCAAAAATATGTGGACAACTCCTCGTCGAACATCTCTTTCCAAAATCATGGGCATTAATATGGAGAGTTGGTCCCCCATTTGCTGCTATAACAGCCTCCACTCTTCTGGGAAGGCTTTCCACTAGATGTTGGAACATTGCTGCGGGGACTTGCTTCCATTCAGCCACAACACCATTCAGCCACAACACCAACGGTGCCACGTTGAAAGTCACTGAGCTCTTCAGTAAGGCCATTCTACAGACAATGTTTGTCTATGGGGATTGCATGGCGGTGTAATCGATTTTATACACCTGCCAGCAACGTGGCTGAAATAGCCGAATCCACTAATTTGGAGGGGTGTCCACATACTTTTGTATATATAGTGTACCTACTCAAAATCAACAGGGCATAGTAGTGGTTTAGCTATAGTGCATCCAGTATGGTTGAGTGGTTGTAGAACATGGTCTTGTGTGGCTCAGTTGGTGGAGCACGGTGCTTGAAACGTTTAATTCCCGCTGGGGCCACCCATATGAAAATGCATGAACGCACTGCTTTAAGTCGCTTTGGATAAAGAGTCTTGCTAAATGGCATTGAAAGTTATGAAAGTTGAGCCTTGAGGTAATTAGTTGTAGTGTGTTGATGTGTCCACCAGGTGGCGCTCTCACCTTGAAGCGGCTGGTGAACAGTTCCAGTCTGGTGTTCAGTTCTCTGTTGTAGTAGAGACCCTGCAGCGCTGTCAGACACTTCAGACGCACCTCGCCTTGCTAAAAAAACACACAAGTTTGAATTACACACACTTTAACACGCACATACAAAGTTGTTAGAATTGCACACACTCCTAACTCACGCAACGCACGCACACCCTCTCGCTCCCTCTCTCTTCCTCACCTTGTCGTGCATGGTCCAGCCTACATATTTCAGGTAGCTGTCGTTGAGGAAGGCGTCACTGTAGAGCTTCATCCACATTCCAATCTCCTCTATAGTGATAGCTCTGATCTCTGCTATGGCATCACTGCAATACAACACACAACCGTAATCATCATCATCATCATATCTTCTATACAGAGGGATAAAGTATCTCAAATGAAATACATCCAATCTATGATCATCGCTATGATGGAAACAATGTACAGGCCACGTACCGATATCGGTGTACAAACACACCCTTGAATATCGCATTCATCATGTTTTCAATTTCATCCTGATTTTCTTGAAGCTGAAATTAGAAGAGATATCAGTAAGAAAACATTTTGATCAGGGTTCATCAGGTTGGACATTATTTACCAAGAAAATCAAGACAACCAAACATTAGAGAAGAGACAGCTAGTATAGTTATCAAGACAACCAAACATTAGAGAAGAGACAGCTAGTATAGTTATCAAGACAACCAAACATTACAGAAGAGACAGCTAGTATAGTTATGAAAGCATTGAGGTGTATAATTACAGTGTAATGTTGTTCTGGTGTGGTTGTATTAGTAGGAGGAGCCAGCAGTGTTTCATGTTGTTCTGGTGTGGTTGTATTAGTAGGAGGAGCCAGAAGTGTTCCATGTTGTTCTGGTGTGGTTGTATTAGTAGGAGGAGCCAGAAGTGTTCCATGTTGTTCTGGTGTGTTTGTATTAGTAGGAGGAGCCAAAAGTGTTTCATGTTGTTCTGGTGTGGTTGTATTAGTAGGAGGAGCCAGCAGTGTTCCATGTTGTTCTGGTGTGGTTGTATTAGTAGGAGGAGCCAGCAGTGTTCCATGTTGTTCTGGTGTGGTTGTATTAGTAGGAGGAGCCAGAAGTGTTCCATGTTGTTCTGGTGTGGTTGTATTAGAAGGAGGAGCCAGCAGTGTTCCATGTTGTTCTGGTGTGGTTGTATTAGTAGGAGGAGCCAGAAGTGTTCCATGTTGTTCTGGTGTGGTTGTATTAGTAGGAGGAGCCAGCAGTGTTCCATGTTGTTCTGGTGTGGTTGTATTAGTAGGAGGAGCCAGAAGTGTTCCATGTTGTTCTGGTGTGGTTGTATTAGTAGGAGGAGCCAGCAGTGTTTCATGTTGTTCTGGTGTGGTTGTAGTAGTAGGAGGAGCCAGCAGTATTCCATGTTGTTCTGGTGTGGTTGTATTAGTAGGAGGAGCCAGCAGTGTTCCATGTTGTTCTGGTGTGGTTGTATTAGTAGGAGGAGCCAGAAGTGTTCCATGTTGTTCTGGTGTGGTTGTATTAGTAGGAGGAGCCAGCAGTGTTTCATGTTGTTCTGGTGTGGTTGTATTAGTAGGAGGAGCCAGAAGTGTTCCATGTTGTTCTGGTGTGGTTGTATTAGTAGGAGGAGCCAAAAGTGTTCCATGTTGTTCTGGTGTGGTTGTATTAGTAGGAGGAGCCAGAAGTGTTCCATGTTGTTCTGGTGTGGTTGTATTAGTAGGAGGAGCCAGCAGTGTTCCATGTTGTTCTGGTGTGGTTGTATTAGTAGGAGGAGCCAGAAGTGTTCCATGTTGTTCTGGTGTGGTTGTATTAGTAGGAGGAGCCAGCAGTGTTTCATGTTGTTCTGGTGTGGTTGTAGTAGTAGGAGGAGCCAGCAGTATTCCATGTTGTTCTGGTGTGGTTGTATTAGTAGGAGGAGCCAGCAGTGTTCCATGTTGTTCTGGTGTGGTTGTATTAGTAGGAGGAGCCAGAAGTGTTCCATGTTGTTCTGGTGTGGTTGTATTAGTAGGAGGAGCCAGCAGTGTTTCATGTTGTTCTGGTGTGGTTGTATTAGTAGGAGGAGCCAGAAGTGTTCCATGTTGTTCTGGTGTGGTTGTATTAGTAGGAGGAGCCAAAAGTGTTTCATGTTGTTCTGGTGTGGTTGTATTAGTAGGAGGAGCCAGAAGTGTTCCATGTTGTTCTGGTGTGGTTGTATTAGTAGGAGGAGCCAGAAGTGTTCCATGTTGTTCTGGTGTGTTTGTATTAGTAGGAGGAGCCAGAAGTGTTCCATGTTGTTCTGGTGTGGTTGTATTAGTAGGAGGAGCCAAAAGTGTTTCATGTTGTTCTGGTGTGGTTGTATTAGTAGGAGGAGCCAGAAGTGTTTCATGTTGTTCTGGTGTGGTTGTATTAGTAGGAGGAGCCAGCAGTGTTCCATGTTGTTCTGGTGTGGTTGTATTAGTAGGAGGAGCCAGAAGTGTTCCATGTTGTTCTGGTGTGGTTGTATTAGTAGGAGGAGCCAGAAGTGTTCCATGTTGTTCTGGTGTGGTTGTATTAGTAGGAGGAGCCAGCAGTGTTTCATGTTGTTCTGGTGTGGTTGTATTAGTAGGAGGAGCCAGAAGTGTTCCATGTTGTTCTGGTGTGGTTGTATTAGAAGGAGCCGGCAGATGGAAGCCCAGTGGGACATAGTGTTATGTAAGCCAGGACACAGCCAGATGCCAGCTCAACCACAGGGCCTAGCAGCTAGTGGTAGAACAACCCTTTACTCTCTCTCTCTGACTGTAGGCTAACTGACTAGTTATGCTCCTCAGGCATGTCTTCAAGCATCCTCAACTCTAAATGTAATACATATTTTAAATTGGAACACAACTCGTTAGGCTGCTGCACCTTGGGTAACGTGTGAGTGCAGAGAGAGTGTTTTATTAAGCAGGTTCTCAGAAGCAATGAGCAGTCAACCCTAAGGAAAATGTGAGCCAAACAAACCTTAAACCAAGGGCCCAAGAAGCCTAACCCAGTTCCCAAACACTGACCCCCTAACCCAGGAGGAGCCTAACCCTGACCTCATCCCTCTCACCTCTTTGCGTTTCTGCAGCAGTAGCTCCAGCCGGTCGTTGGCTCTCTTAGCGACCATCTTGTTTCTCTCTGTCTCGTACTGCCGCTGGGTGTTGTCCATGTTGATGCTCAGGTTCAGAGCTACATTCACCAGGGCTGTCATCAGTTTCATGGCTACACACACACACACACACAGTTAATCAGTGTACCTGTGTGCCCAGGGGAGAGGGAAATAACCGACAAATACAGACAGACATATCCCCTCACCTCACCCACTCTCTATTACCTGCCAGTGTGCTTGTGTGCCGGAAGGCTCGGACCTGTGAGTCGGACAGTCCGGTGAGGAGGGATATGACCGTGTCCATCAGGTACTCATCATAGATTATGCTGTACTGACACTGTCTCACCAACACAGCAATGAACTCACAGAAACTACCCTTAAACTTCTTCCACAGTGGACCTGCCATGGTCAGAGGATAGTCTCCGCTGTCCTATAGAGGGGAAGGAGGAGGGTGGAGAGAGAGAGAATGTTTATGGGAGTTATGGGTTCTCTATTGCATGCAACTCAAAGAGAGGGTAATGACATCTAAAACTGAATCAATCAACTGGGACATTTCAGGTCACCGACTAAACTTTAACCCAGAGTAATGCACTTACCAAGTCTCACACAAACAAAACCTACCTCGTCAAACTCCTCTGTCATCCTCCTGATGATCTCAGAGTTCTGCATGTTCCGGAACATCTCTCCACTGACCACTCCTTTACAGCCAGAACACTGGATGAAGAAGTTGATCAGGTCTAGCAGAGCCATGTCCCTGTCGTTTTTATACGCCTCAATCCAGTCATCCACCACAGACTGGAGCCAGGACAAACAACAGCAGAGATAGACAATAAATAGAACTAAAATACAGTCACTGTGGTTCAACTCCAATAAAGATGTTCTGGTCATTAGATAATCAAGAACTGTTGATAATCAAATAAACTATTGGCCTGTTAAGGCCCAAGCCACTTGTGTGTAGACTCACATACACACTAAGTGTTTCACACACAGTAAATGTTACACACACACACTGACCTGCATGGCGCTCTTTCCCATCTTGACGACCTCAAACAGCATCAGGTTCTCCATGCCATTCTCCTGATAGTGGCCGTTCATCCTCCCTGCTCCCCCCGCTCCCTTCCCCTTCTCCCCTGCCGCCTTCTTCCCCTTCTTCCCCCCCTGGGATGGAGGGAGGGATGGAGAGAGAAATCAATAAAGGGTTAAACAGCATAATGCTTACTAATATGGCTAGAGACTGTTTATATGGCTTGGTGCGGAGAGAGTAGCTTGAGGATGAGGCGAATATGTTGTTGTTGTGTATAGCGTGGGGAAGAGGTTATAATCTGATGTTGTATAGCTTGAGGAAGAGTTTATAATTGTATTTTGTGTTGTATAACTTGGGGAAGAGGTTATCATATGATGTTGGGGTGTGTATAACTTGGGGAAGAGGTTATCATATGATGTTGGGGTGTGTATAACTTGGGGAAGAGGTTATCATATGATGTTGGGGTGTGTATAACTTGGGGAAGAGGTTATCATATGATGTTGGGGTGTGTATAACTTGGGGAAGAGGTTATCATATGATGTTGGGGTGTGTATAACTTGGGGAAGAGGTTATCATATGATGTTGGGGTGTGTATAACTTAGGGAAGAGGTTATAATATGATGTTGGGGTGTGTATAACTTGGGGAAGAGGTTATCATATGATGTTGGGGTGTGTATAACTTAGGGAAGAGGCCTGGTCGTACCTTTCCTTTGGTTGGGTTGATACTGACATCAGGAGCCTCCGAGAAGTCTGTGTCTGAGGAGAAACGGGTGTCCGAATCCCTTTTTGGCAAAAACACACACAAATTAGAAACAGTCTGCTGCATGCCTGTTGACACACACACATCATGGAAGTAGCCACTTACTGAGGATAGTGGAACTCTGACGGTAACTCTGGTGGCGCTATCATTTCTCTAACATGTCTGATTCAACTCAAATAAGAACAGACTTCAGATCCTCAGTGTCCACAAGGCAGTGGAACGGTAGCATAAGACCTGGAGGAGAAAACAGAAGAGGAAGAGAATGCAATTCAGAGAAGACAGGAGAGAGGAGTTGTATGATAACCTGCGGCTAAACGTCTACAACATACACATTGCATCCTCTTGAACAGGCCTCAATATCAGCCAGTGGCTGAAATTTACAAAAATACTGCTTTCACATGGTAACAGGGGGCGGGCTCTATCTCCTGTTATGCTCAGCTGTGGGCTCATAGGCTCTCTCGCTTGGTTTCCAGGAAACGTCACCCAGGGCTGGACATTGGCCATATAAGGGAGTGTCTAATCCACCCTCCGCTAGATATCCTAACCAATCAGAACGAATTATCAACACCAGTGGACATATACAAGGCAAATAGCAGGGCGTCGAGAGAGTGGCATACTCAACCATTATTAACCAAATTATTATATTTTAAAAAATCACAAATAGTATATTTTTTATGAATCAACAATATTGTCAATACTAGTATGTCGTCAGGACAGGTGTGTTGAACTACAGGAGGCCAAAGTGAACCTAGCAGCGACCCTATCCTGGGTGTCTTAATGACGGTCGGGGCATACTGTACTATGAACGATTACAGTAGATGTGGTGTGTCAATCCGAAAAGGAATTGTAACGACCAACGAGAAATTCATTGTACTGTACAATAAAACTGCTCGTGTCTGTACATATAACCGGTTTGTGCTTTTTTGCTGGATTGCAGGTTGAATAAAGTTTTGCGGGGGAGAAGTGGGGCATCTAACCTCACTAACCAGTGAGAAGTATGGAATGAGTAATACGTGGATTCAAACTCAACTTTAAAACGCTACTGTAGATAGCTAAGTACTTGAGAGAATATCCCATGGGCTCGAATTAGAACGCGTGAATTCCAATACACAATCGACTTCTTACATTGAATCTAATAGCCATTCTTGCTAGCTAAATTCATACATTACGCGTTTGAAATTGGGTCAAATACAGCCAGATGCTAGCAGTGTAGCGTACAATACAGCTACAACTGTATTGCAAAGCAATAAAATAGCATTAGCAAGCAACATCCTGTGTTTCTTATTGCATAAGAGGAGACAATCGCGAGTCAGTATTCGCGCCGGCGGTTGACTAGACGGGAAGCCCTGATGATGGGGACTGAAAAAGTGGCGCCAAACATGGGTCCATGGTCAACACAAAGCGCGTAAAAAACTACATTATCGATAGCTGCCGACGTCGAAATAACCGACGGAGAGCATCCTGAACTAGGCTAACTACCGTTGGCTAAGTAATGTGACAGCCGCTCTTGGGCTTGCTCAGTCAAGAATTGACACCGGTATCCTGGCGAGGGGTTGCCCGGACTGGCTTGCCAAAGAGCTAAGCTAGCTAAAGAAGCTAGCTAGCTAAACATCAGCTGTCATCAGAACGTCACCCTTAACGTTACGTGCATGAAAATAACAACTTGCCTTCCGTGTATAACATTAAACCAAGAGTTCAAATTGTATCCTTGCAAGTAACGTCAGTACCCACTTTTCTGTAAGCTAACGTTACAGTACAAACAAGGAAAAAACACTCGGGAAAATATATCCATCTTGACTGAGTAGCTAACTAACGTTAGCTTAGCATAGCAGCAGCTAAGCTACCATTCTCCATCTTGTTAAGTTAGCTAGCTAGTTTCCTGGCTAGTTAGCTAACTAGCCATGTTAGCGTTAGCGCTCCGCCCTAGCCCGCTGGCTGCAATCGAACGGAGTTCAGATAGCCAGCCATCTTCTCAATAAAACAGTGGATATTTAGCTAGCTAGCTAATACGATGTGGCCCTCAAAGTTCATGTAAATATCTAAGTTAGCTTGTTTTGCAACACACTTGTTGTGGAGCAACAATACAACCATTTAGTTACATAAAAACACCTCGTCCTTACGTCCTCCATCTTGCCCCGGGAGTTCCGATACTGTACCTAGCTAACGTTAACTCCCCAGCGGAAAAACATCTATTGGACGTAAACAAACACTATGTTACATATTATCCTAGCTAACTAGCTAGCTACGTTTCAATTAAGTGGGTCTACTTTTCGGTATGCGTAACATAGATTCACGATAAACTAGACAAAAAGTAGCCTACAGCGGCTGGTTTACGACTTTCCGTAGCTAGCAGTCTCCGCACTTCTAGCCTGTTAGCTAGCTAGCTAGCATGATAGTTAGCTACCAACAAAATTGCTACAAACCAACTAACTTCGAGATTCAACTCCGCCATTTTATAACTTACCCCGTTATTCAATTTATTTCCCAACGAGTCACTATTTTGTTGAGTCGTTATTTGTTCTTGTATTGATATTACCACGATTTCCGCAAATGAGTTTGAAACTGGCGGTCAGAGGCTGTTTTGGACGCTCTCTCACACCGCCACTTGCTCCGTAGTAGGGTTTGTTGTTTCGACGACGAGGGGGGGAGGAAAACTCCTGGTGCACAGCTGCCACCTAGCGGCCAGAGGAAATACGTCCGATGCCCCGTGACCGTGAGGGATCTGACATCTAGCGGTTATTTACAAGGTGTGCAGCTGCCAGATACCAGCAAGTACGTGACAGATGAGGGTGGGGATGGCCATACCACAGAGTTTCTAAACCCAGAGGCGCAACATTGCGAGACTTCCGGGAACGCTTGTGAAACAGACCAAGCCGACCAAGCCAGGGTTTGGGTTTGAGAAATCAATGGGAGAAGTGACCAATTCTTCTTTAGCTGTTCATTTTCTCGAAATCTAAAGGCACAACCTAGATTCGAGGCAATGTCTTAAGTAGTTCAACATGTTATTACTCCAACCTCGTGAAAGTGACAAACTGACAAAAACAACTTTATTTCGAAGGAGTGCCTTTGATTTGACAGCCTGCACATGCGCAGTTCGGCGCGAGACGACGGTCTCCCGAGTGGCGCAGTGGTCTAAGGCACTGCATCGCAGTGCTAGCTGTGCCACTAGAGATCCTGGTTCGAATCCAGGCTCTGTCGTAGCCGGCCGCGACCAGGAGACCCATGGGGCGGCGCACAATTGGCCCAGCGTCGTCCAGGGTAGAGGAGGGAATGGCTGGCAGGGATGTCTGCTAAATGACTAAAATGTAATGTAATGGATGTAGCTCAGTTGGTAGAGCATGGCGTTTGCAACGCCAGGGTTGTGGGTTCGATTCCCACGGGGGGCCAGTATGAAAAAATAATTAAAAAACAAATAATGTATGCACTCACTAACTGTAAGTCGCTCTGGATAAGAGCGTCTGCTAAATGACAAAAAAAAAAAAAACGACCGTTAGACCCGATGGCGTGTTTCTGCGCATGAGCTTAGCTAGCCAATGTCGTCATGACATCGCGTGATCAGTGATTTCTATTGGAGAAGCAGTTTCTGCCTATCTTCATACTGTAAGTTCTTTGGCCCTGCAGTAAATGGTCCGTTGTGTATAATGAGCAAACAGACACTGCACTTGACACATTTATGAAATTGCTTATTCCAGTTACTAATAAGCATGCACCCATTAAGAAAATGACTGTAAAAACTGTTAAATCCCCGTGGATTGATGCCAGCATTGGTTTGTGGTGGTAAATAGACAGCTATGAAAAATATAGATGAAACCTCTCTTGGTAAATAGTGTGGTCTACAGCTTATATACTCTACCTCGAGGTTTTGCTCGCCTGAGGTAGAGTATCTTATGATAAGCTGTAGACCACACTATTTACCAAGAGAGTTTTCATCTATATTTTTCATAGCTGTCTATTTACCACCACAAACCAATGCTGGCATTAAGATTGCACTCAATGAGCTGTATAAGGCCATAACTAAATAGGAAAACGCTCATCCAGAGGCAGCGCTCCTAGTGGCCGGGGACTTTAATGCAGGGAAACTTAAATCCGTTCCACCTAATTTCTACCAGCATGTGAAATGTGCAACCAGAGGAAAAAAAACTCTAGACCACCTTTACTCCCCACACAGAGACGAATACAAAGCTCTCCCTCGCCCTCCATTTGGCAAATCTGATTATAACTCTATCCTCCTGATTCCTGCTTATAAGCAAAAACTAAAGCAGGAAGCACCAGTGACTCGGTTAATAAAAAAGTGGTCAGATGACGCAGATGCTAAACTACAGGACTGTTTTCCTAGCACAGACTGGAACATGTTCCGGGATTATTCAGATAGCATTGAGGAGTACACCACATCAGTCACTGGCTTCATAAATAAGTGCATCGATGACGTCGTCCCCATAGTGACCGTACGTACATACCCCAACCAGAAGCCATGGATTACAGGCAACATCCGCACTGAGCTAAAGGATAGAGCTGCCACTTTCAAGGAGCGGGACTCTAACCCGGAAGCTTATAAGAAATCCCGCTATGCCCTCCGACGAACCATCAAACAGGCAAAGAGTCAATACAGGACTAAGATTGAATCGTACTACAACGGCTCTGACGCTCGTCGGATGTGGCAGGGCTTGAAAACTATTACAGACTACAAAGGGACGCACAGCCGCGAGCTGCCCAATTACACAAGCCTACCAGACGAGCTAAACCACTTCTATGCTCGCTTCGAGGCAAGCAACACTGAAGCATGCATGAGAGCACCAGCTGTTCCAGACGACTATGTGATCACGCTCTCCGTAGCCGATGTGAGTAAGACTTTTAAGCAGGTCAACATTCACAAGGCCGCAGGGCAAGACGGATTACCAGGATGTGTACTCCGAGCATGTGCTGACCAACTGGCAAGTGTCTTCACCGACATTTTCAACATGTCCCTGACTGAGTCTGTAATACCAACATGTTTCAAGCAGACCACCATAGTCCCTGTGCCCAAGGACACTAAGATAACCTGCCTAAATGATTACCGACCCGTAGCACTGACGTCTGTAGCCATGAAGTGCTTTGAAAGGCTAGTCATGGCTCACATCAACACCATTATCCCAGAAACCCTAGACCCACT